TCTAATGACCCAAATACAATGGTCAAACAAATACAATGGAAAGGAAAAATTACAAGAATGAAAATGAGCCCAATATTGGGTACCAAAAGCCCAAAGGCCCATGAAGCCCAAAACTAGGCCCAACAAGCCTAAAACCTAAAATGCTACTCTATGTGGTCCAAAATACAAGACCAAAATATATTCATACTATACTAACAAAAATATAATAAGAATGTTAAAAACAAGATAAGCCCATGTTGAAACTTGGTTTGGGCCTTCCAAGCCCATAGGGCCCGTTGGGCCTAGACTGGCCCAATCTTCCATGTCTAGCCCACTCCTCTTGGATCTTTGAGTGTGTCACCTCTTGCATTCCCAAGTATGATTCCATCACCTGGTCATCACTCTTTCGCCTGAGAAGCCGACCAGTGGTTCGTGGTATGACTCTAGCCTCTCCTCCGGGATTCCAACACTACTACAAAAATACTATTTTACATCACCATTTTTACATCGGTTAAGCAAGAAACGATGTAAAAAGAAAGCACGGTGGCATTATTGTAATTAAGGGTATAATATTAAGCATATTTACATCGGTTTTTAGTGGGACCGATGTAAATATTACATATTCTACATCGGGTTTAAGACGAACCGATGTAATATTAAAATCACGGTGGCATTTTTGTGAATAAGAGGCTCAATCATAAAGAGATCTACATCGGTTTACATAGTGACCGATGTAATATTGAGAACTCTTTCCTACCCCGCGCGTGCCCAAGAGTAGGCATTCTCCCTGAAGCCCTTGCTAGCTACTGAATATTGAGAAGGTTTCCCTGTGCGCGCGCATGAGCCTTTGCCCCCCATTGCACCACCGTCGCCCCGCCGTTGCCGCGCCCTTTCCGCGCCCTTTCCCCTGAATAACCCTCTGTAAGCATCATCGATTCATTTCTCTCCTTTTCTCAGTTTAGGGTTTATTTCCTTTTTTTTTTGTTTCTATCAAATTGGGCCGCGAAGGTTAAGTGAAGGGAGGGAGAGGCCCACTACTCTACCGTTTGGGGAGCATTCGACGCCGCGCCATGCGGCGGAGCAGGCGTCGGCGGTGGTCCAGTTGGTGAGGAGGTTGCCGTGGGTGTCGCTTTGGAGGCGGAATTGGGTGAGGGCGTGTGTATCATTCTGGTATGCTCCCTCTGCGATGCAGAGGATGGACAGGGCCAAGGTTAAGGCCAGTTCGGGGTTTATGGGAGAGAGAGAAAGCCTTTTCATGTTAATGTTATGGTGTGTGGGAAGGGAGGGAAGGCGGGTGCACCAAGGTAGCAGGTAGGGCCGCACCCAAGTGGGACGCATAGTGCTTGGTGGCGTTGTGAGGGTTTTGGGGAATGTCATCTGTAAGTGACAGAATGTGAGTTATTAGTGTGTGTGTGTCTCAAATGCCTATGTGTATGTATGTGTGGGAGACAGAGACAGTAATGCAAATCTTTGACCGTTGACTTTTCACATTACATACTTATAAATTTGTATAAAGATGGAAACTATCCTATCTTTATTATGATCCATTTAACATCTCGAGAAAAATGCTGACATCTAACATATAGATTGGGATTAAATTATAAGGTGTGTGGTGTTTTTATAATGCCCCTAATTGCCACTGTGTGTGTTTGTGTCTCCCATTACCCAATTTGCCACTATTACTTTCCTTGTTATCTATATTGTATACACAACCATTGCATAATTGGATGTTTCATCTGCAAAAGGGGAGAAAAACCATTACTTTATTTCCCTTTTTTTCTGCTGGTCAAAATATCAGTTTTATATCTCAATCTTTGGACCCCTACCCTCACCGGAATTTCATTACTAGGCACTAGCTAGGCTGGGAGTAGAAGTCAAAAACAATATGAGATTGAGTGAGGGAAAAGGATTTGTTGTGAGATGAAATAAAGTGACTTAATTTGGCATTAGAAACATAGGTTAATCCGATTAAAATACATGGTTAGAAAATCAATTTCCAAAAGCTTGTGTATAAAAAAAACATTTGTCATAATATGTCAATGCCCTAATTAAGAAGGAAAAAAGTTGTGAATTTGTAATATGAAACAGTTTTACATCTCATTTAATTACAATCCGTCATATATTTTATTAAGAAATTAACATATTAATTAACTTTTCAGGAGATATGTTTAATGCTAATAACTTAGTTTAAAGAAAGAAAGTGTTGATAAAGTATTATGGGTAAAAAAATGTCATCATTTTCTCATTGAAAGTCATAAGAAAATTTATTTCTGTCATGACCTGCAAATCCTGGACCTCAGCAAAAGTTTCAAGCTTACTGATCGTTCATTGTATGCTGTAGGCCTTGGTTGCCGTGATCTTACAAAACTGAACATCAGTGGTTATTCAGCCTTCAGTGACAGTGCCCTGGCTTACCTTGCCAGCTTCTGCCGAAAGCTGAAAGTTTTGAATCTCTGTGGATGTGTTAAAGCTGCATCTGATACTGCTTTACAGGTATGATTGAGACTTGAACCGGACATTATTCTCATTGATTTTTGTTTAGAGAACATTCTTTGGATACTATTACATGTGTCTTCCATTTCTAATGAATGTATGCTAATGTACTATCCTAGGAGATGCATGATATTTATTTTTTTGCCTAAATTTTATTATTTTTTTTAACTAAGAGTTATGATGCATGATTTTTTTTTGCTATATATATATATTTTTTTTATTTTTTTATTTTTAAAATAAACTACCCTATATGATGCTTTAGAGTTAGATGTAGAGCAGTATCAGATGCAGCTTTAACACATCCACAGAGATTCAAAACTTTCAGCTTTCGGCAGAAGCTGGCAAGGTAAGCCAGGGCACTGTCACTAAAGGCTGAACAACCACTGATGTTCAGTTTTGTAAGATCACGGCAGCCAAGGGCTACAGCATACAATGAACGATCAGTAAGCTTGAAACTTTTGCTGAGGTCCAGGATTTGCAGGTCATGACAGAAATTTGCAATAGTCTCAACAGCATTGTCCTCTAGTTGAGGCTTATCTTGTCGAAGGATTAAAGTCTGCAATTTTGTGAATTTAGGAGCAAGGGATAGGACCAGGTTATTCATGTTCTTGCTACACCTGAAAGGTATTACATAATAAAAGTTATTGCTCGTTTTTAACA